TGTTTTGCAAGTTGGCCTACTTGAGTCTCCAAGTTTTTGATTGCTGCTTCATTGCTTTTTTGACTTGCCATGGAGGCTTGTATGAATTGTGCAAGCGTATCTTCTAACTTGGAACTTCCGCCTTATGATTGTTGGCTTTGTGTGTTTGGATTTTGATATGGATTTTGTTGCTGAAAATTTTGGTTGTTGAATCTTGATTGTTGGTAGCCTTGGTTGTTCCTTTGAAGAGTGTTGTTGTGTTGTGGAGGATATCTTTGGTAACCTTGACCTTGATTGTTGACATAACTTACTTCCTCTTGAATCGGGGGACAAAATCCGGTTGGATGATCTCCTTGACAAAGTTCACAACTTGCTACTTGATGTCTAATTTGTGTTCCATGAATCTCTTTCAATTGTTGTGGAAGTTTGGACATTTGTTAAGTGAGCAGCTCCACTTGTTGAGAGAGTAGCTTGTTTTGAGCAAGTATGGCATCGTTGGTATTCAACTCAAGAACCCCCGCTTTCCTTTGTGAAGGACTACGGTCGTGTTGACTTTGTCGATCATTGAGTGTCATTTGATCAATAATGGTTTTCGCTTCCTCCGCATTCTTCGACATGAGAGAACCACCCGCGGTAGCATCCAAAAGTGTCTTTTGTGATGCTTGGAGTCCGTTGAGAAAAATGTGAATTTGTGTGAGATCATCAAAACCGTGACCTTTGCATTTCCTCAACATGGATTTGAATCTTTCCCAAGCCTCGTTTAAAGACTCGTTGCTTCCTTGTGTGAACACCGAAATAGCCGTTTTGGCTTCCATGAATCGGGATTGAGGGTAATACCTTTCTAGAAATCTTTCTTCTAACAAATGCCAATCCGTCATCACTCTTGTTGGTTGATCAAGGTACCACTATTTTGCTTTTCCCACCAATGAGTGTGGAAACATTCTCTTGAATAAGTTTTCTTCACCTGCTTCATCTACTACTGTAGAACCCGCAATCTCATAAAATTTGATGAGATGGTTGTACGGATCTTCATGATCCATTCCGTTGAATGGATTTGCATAAAGGAGTTGAAGGATTCCGGTCTTCATCTCCGTATTCCTTCCGCCTCGAGCAAATTGAGTTGTCCGCCTTGGACTATTAGTGGACATTTCGGTACAAGCGTCATAACCCATACTTCCTTCAACGGTTTCTACAACTTCCTCTTCAATTTGAGTAAGTGCAGAATTTGTTGCTGCTTCTCTTCGGTTCCTCTCGTCGGCTAGTTTCTTTCTTCTTCGTGTCTTGCTATTAAGCCTTCAGATTGTTCTTTCAATTTCGGGGTCGAATTGAAATTGCTCCTCGGTGGCTTTTTCTCGCATGCACTAGAATCTACAAAACTAACAAACCAAGTGAAACACAAGAGTGATAAAAAAAATAAAAACAAGAACTTAGAATAATGAATTATTGCAATGCATGTAATATCGACACCAATCCCCGACAACGACACCAATTTGTTGATAAGTATATTTCTGCCAAATATTTTTAATATCGTATCCACAAAGATTGGTGTTATTACCGCCGTTCTATGATATCGATTGTTGTAAGTTCAAAGGTATTCGAATTGTTTGTTGTTGAATAAATCGTTCTTGTCACTTGTAAGAAAAAATGAGATAATAAAAATGGTTTTAGAATAAAATGTGGAAACCTTGTCAAGATTGAGTTTCATTATCTTTGTTCTTTATATGATCTCAATATCACATGCATGCATTCAAACTCCATTGATAGTATTCAAGTGTCCTCTCAATAATATTTATGTCTAAATAAGATTGTGACAATTATTATATAAATCCTTAGACGATCTCTCCATCTAACTATTGATATAATAATCTTGAATGTTTAACACAAATAGAAAAGTAGTGAATAAATCTATCTCTACAATTTATTCTCTACTTGGAAAAATATCTTAGGTCAAGAATTAAACTATCTTTCTCAACAATAATTCAATTCTGATTTTTCAATGTAAAGAGAAAATATAATTCCTTATACCAAATGTAGTTTGTTACATGCAAGGATAGTAATATTACACAAACAACATAAGATAACTACTACCTCAAGCTTGACAAGAAATGAAATTAGCTGCTCATCATCTTCATAAAATATTCAGCAAATTCTTCAAATCTCCTCTTGCATGAAAACTTCTCTCCAAGACAAGAAAATTTCCTCTCAAATCTTCCTAAAATCTCTTACAAACCTAAGAGATGCTAAGACTCAAGGGTGAAATGATTATTTCTTACATGCAAGGAAAAAGTGCATTTAATAGACTATGGGGCGCCACCCTACACAAAAGTGGTTTTTCTTCCCAAGACATGACATGTGTCACAATTTTGCATGTGCTGAATTTCACTCAGTTCGCGGCGCGAAGGATGGTCGCGACGCGAACTGCCCAGTTTGAGAATTGTTTGCTTTGTGTTCCCTCAACATTGCTTTTACCAAACTTTTACTTCAAGTGTTGCTCTGGAGATCTTTTTATGCAATCCTTCTTTTCTTGACAAAAATTCTACAAGACTTAAATAACAATAACCCGCTTAGGGAGACAACTTGGGATCGCTATAGGAAAGGAGCGAAGACACAAGGTCGCCTGAAAGGAGGTACCGCCTCGTCCTTGGGAAGACGAAATGTGGGATAAGACGTGTCTTGGATAATGAGAAAGTCAAGATAGTTAATGACCCACATATCCCTTAGAAATAGAAATTTAACAGTCTACCTTTTGACTGGGCAGCCGACGACCTTTTTCCAAGAAAGCCCTGAGAATCGGGAATCCCTATAAATACCCATCCCTCAAAGGGATAGAGATCAAGTCATATTGACTAAGTACCACAAAATACTTCTCAGAGAGCACTTCGCTCTAGTAGTCATAACACCGATAATTTAACCGTCTGCCTGCAACCTAGCAAAGTCGGCCGCTAGTAAGGCCTCTCACCACACATGAATTGGTCCTTTAAACATCCTCAAAAACTGTCGTATAAGACTACTTGCCACCATGAGCTAACCTTCATCATATTCGTGTAATATGTCTACTAGGATCTCTGAGTCTCTCTATCGTTGCAGGAGAAATATTAAATTAATTTTTATTTTTAATTTTAATTTCATTTTTAAACAATTTAAACTTAAAAATATAAAACAAAAAGTCAAAATTTGTTCTTAGAAGGAATTAAGAACCCATCAAACTTTAAGTTAAGTCACATGCCTTTACCACTAGGCAAAATTCTCATAATTTATTTAAAAATAAAATTGAAATAAAAAATAAAACTCTATTTAGTATTAAAATATAAAAATAAAGAATAAAATTCATCGTGGTTATCTACATAATTATTAAAAGATACATATGACATAAATAATACACAGGTAGTCGTTACAATTTAGAAGTAGAAAAAAATACAGTCTGAAAAATATATTAATAAAGAAATTAATATGACTGAGTTAATTTTTATTTATTTATAATAAAGAGTGTTAAAAGCCAAAAAAAAAAATGAGAAACTACAGAGACACCTCCATATAGGTATAACCCCACAATATCTTCTACTAACAAGTTTTCAACAAAATTAGGGACAATAGTATAACGATGTACATCATTATTTAATCTGCAGTCGATTTTTGCTGACGCATCCGCAAATCAATTAGATTCTCTAAATGCATGCTTAATTAAGGTTTCATCGAATCTACTCAAAAGACTCCCAATCTTTTTGAGCATCTTCAAGCCTTCACTTATTCGAGGTCTCCCGTTTTTAATTTTTAATATCCATGACAATTTTAGAAGAATTTGAATTTACTTCTACTCTTCTAAATCCAAGGTCCAAGACTAACTTCAAACTTTCGAATAATCCCCATAATTCAGCCAATGTAGCTACTGCAAATGCCCACATTCTTGACAAAATTACCAATCCAAAAACCATTGTCGTCTCTGACAATTCTCTCACAGTCCGCAACAATGCCCTTTATACAAACACCATTAACATTAAGTTTTACCGTACATAGACTAGGAGGAACCCACTTAACAAGCCTAATCTCCTTCCTTCTCCCTACTGTCATATTATTCTTTTTAAGACTTCACCATATACTCCTTCAATCGTAAAGAGACAAACTGATATTAAAAAGTCTTACAAAATTCTCAATATATTTCTCTTTATTACACCAATACTAAATGACATTACAACCTATCGTTTAGTAAGAGATACATTCAACATTATCATTTAAACTCCAATTAATATTCAAGATAATCCAATTCTTCAACCCTAATTAAATTTTGTAAGAGATAAAATAAAACCTTTTATTTTTTTGAAGATTAATTTGAGGGTAATGTTTAGGGTGAGGGTTCAACTAAAGCCCTCACCGTTGTACTACGACAAAAATACCATTTGATTCTATCTAATGGTTTAGATTTGTTGAAAATTAAAATGAGTTTCTTCCAAAACAACTTTGTCAACTTCGTTCTGGGTCTCGCTCATTTCATCCAAGAAGATTTTCTTCCAAAACAACCAATCAAACTGTAATTTCCATTCAGGTATCTTCATGCGCATTACTTGTTTCTTTCCCATTCAATTTCATATCAACGTTCCTTAATCATCACCCACCCTAACTACTTTAATTAGGGTTTCATTTTCAAGTTTCTTCTTATTAGCGAGAACGAAACCAAGGAGTTTTGAAGGTTGGTTTTACTTGTTAGAGGAAGGATCTAGGAATTCATTTCACTTTTTCCATTTCTTGCTTTCAGGTGAGAATCCTTACTCATTTCTTTAGTTTTAGATATTGCACGTTAACTGTTTGTGAAATGTTCTACATGCTTGTTCCTAATTAAGGGTATGTTAGACTTCATCACATGAAGCACGGACTTCCGAAAATGATACCACCGGTAATAATTTGAAAAAAAAGTGAGGGAATTCTACACTTGTTGAACTCCTTTTTATTGGGTTCTTCCACCTTTTGATTCTGCCACCCTTTAACCCTTCTGCATTTATTTATTGTTTCCTTTGTTGTGTAGTTGAATGGACACAAGAAAACTATTACCCCTTTTAAGGGCTTGTGTGAATTCCAAGTCACTGAAGCAAGGCAAGCTCATCCATCACAAAGTTGTAACTTTTGGTTTGCAGAATGATATTTTTGTGAGCAAGAGCTTGATTAACTTATATGTTTCTTGCCGTTTGCTCGATTATGCACAGCGTGTTTTTGATGCCGTTGAAAACCCTTGTGAGGTATCTTTATGGAATGGCCTTATGGCAGGTTACACTAAGAATTACATGTATGTGGAAGCCTTAGGACTTTTTGATAAGTTGATGCATTATCCTTATCTGAAGCCTGATAGTTATACTTACCCTAGTGTTCTTAAAGCCTGCGGCGGGCTTTGTAGAGTTGTCCTGGGACAAATGGTACATACTTGTTTGATAAAAACTGGTTTGATGGTGGATATCGTAGTTGGAAGTTCTCTTGTGGGTATGTATGCTAAATGTAATTCGTTTGAGTATGCTATACAGCTGTTTGATGAAATGCCTGATAAGGATGTGGCGTGCTGGAATACGGTGATTTCTTGTTATTATCAAAGCGGAAAATTTGATGAAGCTCTAAGATACTTTTGCATGATGAGAAGATATGGATTTGAGCCGGATTCGGTTACAATCACAACCGCTATTTCGTCGTGTGCTAGGCTTTTTGATTTGGACAGAGGGAGGGTAATACATAAGGAGTTGATTAATAGTGGGTTTCAGCTGGATTCTTTTGTTAGCTCTGCACTTGTTGACATGTATGGAAAATGTGGTCACTTAGAAATGGCTATTGAAGTTTTTGAGCAAATGCCTAAAAAGTCAGTTGTTGCTTGGAATTCCATGATTACAGGATATGGTTTCAAAGGTGACTGTTTTTCATGTATTCAACTTTTTAAGAGAATGTACAATGAAGGAGTCAAACCAACTTTGACTACTTTGAGCAGTATAATAATGGCTTGTTCACGATCAGGGCAGCTACTAGAGGGAAAGTTTGTTCATGGATATATAATACGCAACAGAATACAACCTGATATTTTTATTAACAGTTCACTTATGGATCTATACTTCAAATGTGGAAAGGTTGAGTCAGCTGAAAACTTCTTTAAATTGATACCAAAGACAACAGCAGTTTCTTGGAATGTTATGATTTCTGGATATGTGACTGAAGGGAAACTTTTTGAAGCACTTGGCCTCTTCAGTGAAATGAGACAATCATCTGTTGAACCAGATGCTATTACTTTCACCAGTGTTTTAGCAGCTTGTTCGCAACTAGCAGCACTAGAAAAGGGTAGAGAGATCCACAATCTGATTGTTGAGAGAAATTTGGGAAACAATGAAGTGGTTATGGGGGCTCTCCTTGATATGTATGCAAAGTGTGGTGCTGTAGATGAAGCATTTGGTGTTTTCAAATGTTTGCCAGAAAGAGATCTGGTGTCCTGGACTTCCATGATTACTGCTTATGGGTCTCATGGTCGGGTTTCTGAAGCTTTGGAGCTTTTTGCTAAAATGCTGCTGTCAAATGTAAAACCAGATAGAGTTACTTTTCTTGCCATTTTGTCTGCATGTAGCCATGCTGGATTTGTTGATGATGGATTATATCATTTCAATCAAATGATCAATGTTTATGATATCACAGCTAGAGTTGAACATTATTCATGCTTGATTGCTCTTCTTGGACGTGCTGGAAGATTGCCCGAAGCATATGAGATTCTACAAAGAAACCCTGAAATCAGGGATGATGTTCAGCTGTTAAGCACCTTATTTTCTGCGTGCCGTTTACACAGAAATCTTGACTTAGGGGTTGAAATTGCAGAAAAACTTATTGATGAGGATCCTGATGATTCATCAACATATATTATCTTATCGAATATATATGCTTCTTTTGGTAAATGGGATGAGGTACGGACGGTGAGATCTAAGATGAAAAAGCTTGGATTAAAGAAGAACCCGGGGTGTAGTTGGATTGAGATTAACCAGAAGATTGTGCCTTTCTTTGTCGGAGACAATTCAAACTATCATGTAGAAGTGATTAATAAGTGCCTTTCATATCTCTCTAGTCACATGGAAGATGAGTGTAAACCAGTTTATCTATCACTTTGATGTTAAAGCACACCAACTTTACTATCTCAAATTAGCTAAACGGGATAACCTTTAGAAGACGGGCATGATGAGGATCTTGAGACAATAATTTTTGGTGTGTGCACTCATCAAGGGTTACCCACTCAATGGATGATTGAATTCAGGCTATCATTCATAACATGTGGAAGAAAATGCACTTCATGCATATGATATGTTCATTCATATATATGAATTTGTTTTTCTAAAAGAGCAGGGCGTGTCTACTCATTCAAATACTTGCACTTGACATAGAGATTTTCTCAGTCTATATCGTCTATCAATGTACTAAAGATAACTAGGTTGAATATTAGACTGGTAGTCTGATACAAATGCAATTGCTAAACAGAAGTTTGAACCATAGCATAGCAGTATATTCCTGCACATAACAAGTTAAACTTATGGTAATAAGTACCTAGATGAGTTATGCAGCAAAGAAAACGACCAGTTACGTGATCCATATGGTATCTGATCAGTGTCCAAAACAAGAGACATTGGTACGTATAATATCATTCTGCAAACCAAAAGTTACAACTTTGTGATGGATGAGCTTGCCTTGCTTCAGTGACTTGGAATTCACACAAGCCCTTAAACGGGGTATTAGTTTTCTTGTGTCCATTCAACTACACAACAAAGGAAACAATAAATAAATGCAGAAGGGTTAAAGGGTAGCAGAATCAAAAGGTGGAAGAACACAATAAAATGGAGTTCAACAAGTGTAGGCAATGAAAGCACAATAACTGCTTAAAGGTTGAACCTTTAAAAACTGCAAAATCATTTTCATTTCAGTGTGATAGAAGATTGATTCATCCTTCTACTTTTTCTGAATTTTGATGTTTTAGACTCAAAACTGGGGTTTTATAAGTTGGGTGTTTCACATTGTCCATTAGATTCGTCTATATCACAGTTTCAGTTCAATAACACAGGAATTTTTTTAACATGGACTTTGTGCAACCATTCAGTTTATTAAATATATTTTAAATTGAAGGTTTGTTGTATGAGTAAGCTGAAACTCCTGTTTGGATGGTGGATATTTAAGATTTTTGTTGAAATTTCTGGTTGATGATGCCCTGCTCAGAATCTGTGAGTTCAGTGGGAAAGAATATGTCAGTGGCTACTGCACCCAGGAAGCCTCGGATTTTACTTGCTACTAGTGGGAGTGTTGCTGCTGTTAAATTTGCAAATCTTTGTCATTGTTTCTGTGAATGGGCTGAAGTAAGAGCAGTTGCAACAAATCGATCTTTGCATTTTATTGACAGAACAGCGATTCCCAAGAATGTGATTTTGTATACGGATAACGACGAATGGTCTAGTTGGAAGAAACTAGGCGATGGTGTGCTTCACATTGAGCTTCGCAAATGGGCTGATATCATGGTCATTGCTCCATTATCGGCAAACACTCTTGGCAAGGTAATTTATTTGACAAATGTTGACTGATTTTGTCTATTTTATCTACATACATGCACGATCATATAAATGGCTTATATATCACTGCACATTAAAGGCCTGCTTATTTTCCATGTTTCTTGTTTTAATTTTCACTTCAAGTACACTAAACATAAGAGGTCAAATATTTCTTCACCATTTTCTCTTGCAATTTTTGAAAACAGATCTAACACTTTCACAATTTTTGAAAATTAAAACGGATAATGATTTTAGAAAGAAAATAAACCAGCTCTTAAAGACTTTCCAATTTCTATAGTTCTCACAAATTTGTGTGATGATGTGTTCCTATCAATTATATGATATTCAGTTTTTGTATGTACATCTTATATAGGGTTTACATGCATGTTTCTATTCTACTTAAAAATTTGACAATTGCCACTTTTTTCGGTTCCTGTAACTTAAATATATGCTGTTATAGATTGCTGGAGGGTTGTGTGACAATCTACTGACATGTATCGTGAGAGCCTGGGACTACAGCAAGCCGTTCTTTGTTGCACCTGCCATGAACACTTTTATGTGGAACAATCCGTTCACAGAGAAGCATCTCATCTCCATTGATGAGCTTGGTATTTCTCTCATTCGACCTGTTACAAAGAGGTTAGCTTGTGGGGATTATGGCAATGGCGCAATGGCTGAACCTTCTATCATTTACTCCACTATAAGGCTCTTTTATGAGTCAAAGGCTCAGCAAGGTAACGTCCGTGTTTAATAGTGTTAGTTAACAAATGTATAAGTATGAATGGTTTGCTAGGATTTGTCTGGACCCTTTTGATTTGTTTTATTGAATCATTGTTTCGGCATTTTGTGTTTGTCGTACATCTGCCCTGATCTTAGGTGGTATGTATTAGTCATATTCTCCTTTTATGTCTCATAGGGTGATGTTTGTCAACCCTTTCGGATATTTTTGCTGTGTAAAATGATTTCTTCTGAAATTTTAGCTAACACAGGATTATTTCTGTTTGTAGGAATGACCTCAAATTAATTGAACCAAATTTTGGTTGTTATTTTTCTCGCAATTTTTCAATAGTGCCTGTGAACTTTTTAAAGATGTTTCCTCTCAAGGGAACGGATTTGCTAACGTTATGGCGGCCTTTCAAGTATTAATATCTGTTGGATTAATCTAAACACTTATTTCTTGGCACATTTAGTATCATTTCTGTTAAAAACACACAAAATTGCATGAATATCTAATTAAAAACTATTACAATGTTGTTTTAGTTTCTTTGTAGTGTTTTCACTTTCATATGACCTTTGATAATCACCATCATCATTGTCACTGTTGAGCTTCGTCTTCTCTGACCGTCTCTCTCACAATTACATAATTCAAAATTATACAATATATTCTTAACAGTTGAATAAAACTTGTTTCATACTTCCTCTTTTCTAAATGTATAGTATAAACTAAATATAGTATTAATGATTTGGTTTTATGTTAGTAAGTTGGACAAAAAGGTCACAATCTGAACAAAGAAAAATACTGTTCAGACTGACTGCCGACAGTTCTTAACTCATGCACATAAAACAGATTATTTTATCAAAAACACATAAAGCCAACTACCGGAATAAATTGACTATTATTTAAATTTATTTTTGCTGAAATAAAATCAAGCATAGACCATTAAATTAAATTAAGTAAAAAACGAAATTATATTTGGAGAATCAAATGTAGATAAATTTAAAATAATTTAATATTACTATTCTAAGATTAATATTCACATAATAGAATAGGTTTTCACAGAAAATAAAACAGTAATTTGAAGAATATAATTATGTTTTCTAAATTATATTTAAAGAGTTAAACAATATTAACATTTTTAGTACAACTTGATTATTACATCTTTAGTTAACATATAAATTCTTTTTTATTTATAAGTTATTGCAAATTGCAAGAATAAATTGTGGTCTCAAGTTGCACTAAAATTAATATTTTTATGGAGAATTTACATTCTATTTAAATTCTACTTGGAGAATTAGTATTCCCAGTTGCATCAAGAGGATGTACACAATTTATACCAGAATATAATGTTTTATATACTTAATATAATGTTTTTGTTAAAAAACAAAAGATTCTATAATGTCAACATTATCCAAAGTGGGACCTAAATTATTATAGAGGAATAAGATATTCTCATGTAGCCAACGCTACATTCGACTTTTGTTGAGTAATCCACCCCTAACAAGTGACAACACGTTCTATCAATGTCCCTACTCCTTTTTCACCTAAAAATAATATATAGAGTGATATTTATCATTATTCAGAATATCTTAAGATGATTTCGATTTATCTATTTTTTTTCCTTCATTTTTTCTCTACTAATAACCATTCCACTATCCCATTTTATTAAACTTTATATAAAATATTTCTCTTATTTTTTTCAAACTCAAATATTCAAGTTTTTTATTAATATTAATAATTATGTTATTTATTAATAGCTTAATAATATTAAAAAAAAGTGAGTTAAATAGCAATTCTTTTTTCTGTTTTCGAAACTCTAAAACGCGATACTTTCATCCTGCACCTCTTATCACATTTCTCTTTCAGTTTTGTGCCTCTTCTCTTCATATCTCTTCCATCTTTAATTTAAACTATCTTCATCCATAACATTTGATTTTAGTTTTTTTGTTTGCGCCTATAAACAAGTTTGGTTTAAGAAGAAGATGACAAAAATTGTTGGTGCACAAGATAAAGAAGATGAAGATGGAAGAAGAGAAATAAGAGAGAGAATTGAATAACAAACTTCTACTACTCTTGCAAAATAGTTACAGTGAATGGTTACATGTTTGATTTATATACACAAACAATAATACCACACAGGTGAAAATACTAACCTACACTAGATAGGTTAAGCTTAACAAAACTAATACTACTAATGAATATGAATTACTCCAAACACCACCCCTTAATTCATATTCAGCTAACTAAACTCTACAACATCAATTCCATCCCTCGAGTGAAGAAATTGATTAGTCTTAATCGCTTTTGACAAAACATCTGCCAACTGCTTATGGGTGCTACAGTGCATAACTTCTAGCACTTCATTCTGAACCTAACTTCTGAGAAAGTGATACTTAGTCTCAATATGCTTGCTTCTCCCATGTTGCACTGAATTCTTGACAAGATTGATTCCAGACTTGTTATCAATCATCAGTTTCAAATGCTTTATCTTCAGATCCTGCAATAAATTCAGAACCCAAACAACTTGACATGCCGTCATAACTCCTGCAATATATTCAACTTCATAGGTTGACAAAGCAATAACTTGTTGCTTCTTGGAACACTAAAAAATAGAATCTCTCAGATACTTAAAAATATCCAAAAGTACTTCTTTTGTCAACTCTATCTCCACACCTATCAGTGTTTGAGTAACACATCAGCTATGAATTAGCCTTTTCACCAGAAGCGAGCAGAACTTCATAATTCAGAGTCCCCTCAATATACCTCAGAATTCTAACAACAACTTGGTAATGAAACCACTTCGGTTTACTTATGAACCTACTAACTATTCCAATTGCATAACAAATACTAGGTTTGGTATTAC